GTTTATCCACATCAATAACGCTCTCTCAACATCTTCTATCACTTGCGATCTCAGTTTCGAAAACATAGTTGCACCTTTGGCAAGAACAGCTTCCTTGATTGCCGTTTTCTTGGCCACAATAGTAGCGATGGTTGATTGGGGTTTTGTGTACAACCTGGCCAGGTCAGAGACACACACTCCACTTTCATACTTAGCAATGATCTCTTTCTTCATATCCATAGTGATTCTCATCCTTTTTGCTGTAGGGTTGGCACTAGAAGCTTTCTTGGGGCCCATGGTGACTTATTTTGCAGGTGCAATCACTAAGAACGCTGTGATAATATGAAATGTTCCGATTGTATGTTTCGATGCGACTGCGGTGGCTGGCTTGTAAACACTGGCACCCACGGGACAAGTGAGGCACGCTCAGGCCACATGTGGACGCGTCTCGAACGGAACGAATCGTGTTGGTCAAGTTTTTTAGCGCTAGTCGAGGCAAAATTTTTGCGTTAAAATGTATCGCTAATCGGATTTAACGTTATACGATGCCAGCATTGGTCGAGGGTCCACTGTATAATAATAATAGTACGTATAATAATATAATACAATAAGAATAATAATCCATACCACGGGCGGGATTTGAACCCGCGGTCAGAGAGTCTCAAAACTCCAGACTGTCCAGTGGCTAACGCGACGGTCTGGAGTTTTGAGACTCTCTGACCGCAGGTTCAAATCCCGCCCATGGTACGGTTTGTTTGCAATCGTGTCATTACGATTTCGTGAGTCAAGAATAATAATATATGTAATACAATAAGAATAATAATATAATACAATAAGAATAATAATATAATAGTACATATAATAATAATACGTATATAATAATAATGTACTATATAATAATATAATAGACGGCTTCAAAAGGCCGTCACTAGATGGCAGTGTTTACCACAACATAGAGGGAGCGGTTGTGGCTGCCTCCACCTGTTACATACCTGGAGTTTACCTGGAGAGAGTTTCGGGGGTCAACGCCCCCGCGGCCCGGTCTGTGACCAGGCCTCCTGGTGGATCAGCGCCTGATCAACCAGGCTGTTGCTGCTGGCTGCACGCAAACCAACGTACGAGCCACAGCCCGGCTGATCAGGAACTGACTTTAGGTGCTTGTCCAGTGCCAGCTTGAAGACTGCCAGGGGTCTGTTGGTAATCCCCCTTATGTATGCTGGGAGGCAGTTGAACAGTCTCGGGCCCCTGACACTTATTGTATGGTCTCTTAACGTGCTAGTGACACCCCTGCTTTTCATTGGGGGGATGGTGCATCGTCTGCCAAGTCTTTTGCTTTCGTAGTGAGTGATTTTCGTGTGCAAGTTCGGTACTAGTCCCTCTAGGATTTTCCAGGTGTATATAATCATGTATCTCTCCCTCCTGCGTTCCAGGGAATACAGGTTTAGAAACCTCAAGCGCTCCCAGTAATTGAGGTGTTTTATCTCCGTTATGCGCGCCGTGAAAGTTCTCTGTACATTTTCTAGGTCGGCAATTTCACCTGCCTTGAAAGGTGCTGTTAGTGTGCAGCAATATTCCAGCCTAGATAGAACAAGTGACCTGAAGAGTGTCATCATGGGCTTGGCCTCCCTAGTTTTGAAGGTTCTCATTATCCATCCTGTCATTTTTCTAGCAGATGCGATTGATACAATGTTATGGTCCTTGAAGGTGAGATCCTCCGACATGATCACTCCCAGGTCTTTGACGTTGGTGTTTCGCTCTATTTTGTGGCCAGAATTTGTTTTGTACTCTGATGAAGATTTAATTTCCTCATGTTTACCATATCTGAGTAATTGAAATTTCTCATCGTTGAACTTCATATTGGCATGTGTTATTTATATTGTTTATTATTTCATATTAGATGAACTGTGATAGAAAAAATAAGCCGTAGAGTTGATGATAGTGAAATATTCAAAGGGTATTTTGTCCTGTCTCCAGACAAACTCTCGCCGGCCGCTGCCGCCACATATATAATTACATATTTTATTCATTCTAGAGTATATATCAGGTTTCTATGTTATTTATATTGTTTATTATATCATATTAGATGAACTGTGATAGATATTAGTGAAATTATTCAAGAAGTATTTTGTCTGGTCTCCAGACAAACACTCGTCGGCCGCCGACACCGTCCATACCACTACATGAATTACATATTTTATTCATTTTAAAGTATATATATCAGGTTTCTATGTTATTTATATTGTTTATTATGTCATATTAGATGAAGTGAGATAGATAAATAAGCCGTAGATTTGATATTAGCAAAATTATTGAAGCACAGAATTCCACTGGAACGGATTAATTGCATTTCAATTAATTTAAATGAGGAAAATTGACTCTGCAAAAGAGCAAATCCAGTTGCGAGCACGGTCATGGAATGGATTAAACTCCCAAGCAAAGGTTTCACTGTTTTCCTTATGGGAGCAAATTCGTTCAGTAATGGCACTCGAACAGCCTTCTGGAACGAATTAATATCGTAAGTCGGGGGTCCACTGTATCTTAAATACAGCGGTACCTTGGGATACGAACAACTCACAACTCGAACAGTTATGTAAGTGCTGTTGTAAGTGTATTTTTGGGGGTCTGAAATGGATTAATCTAATTTACATTATTCCTTATGGGAACAAATTCGTTCAGTATCAGCACTCGAACAGCCTTCTGGAATGAATTAATTTCGTATCCCAAGGTACCACTGTAATGCATGTGCATATTGTATTCTATATTTTATTCCATATTGCTTTCTATTGTATTCTATACAATTGTTTATTGTATAGTGTAATATATGGTGTAGGTAGGAATGTGAGTAGTTATGTGAGGCAGAACTTTGAGAAGATTAAAGACAGGAGACTTATTGCATAATAGTTACTGCTACACAACACTTGTCTTTCCTAACTTGATCACCAGAGCTTTCCTAACTTGATCACCTGAGCTTTCCTAACTTGATCACCTGAGCTTTCCTAACTTGATCACCTAAGCTTTCCTAACTTGATCACCTGAGCTTTCCTAACTTGATCACCTAAGCTTTCCTAACTTGATCACCTAAGCTTTCCTAACTGATCACCTAAGCTTTCCTAACTTGATCACCTGAGCTTTCCTAACTTGATCACCTAAGCTTTCCTAACTTGATCACCTGAGCTTTCCTAACTTGATCACCTAAGCTTTCCTAACTTGATCACCTAAGCTTTCCTAACTTGATCACCTAAGCTTTCCTAACTTGATCACCTAAGCTTTCCTAACTTAATCACCTAAGCTTTCCCAACTTGAGCACCTTAATGGAATCAATAATTTTTAGTGTATAAAACCAGTACTTTGCAATTACTTAAGAAAATTTGAAATAATATCCGACGAAAGATGAATATTTTGTTATCCAAGGAATAGAAGCTACAATAGTTGCTTATATGGGGGATTGTAAAACCTTAACCCTTTGACTGTTTTCGACGTATAAATACGTCTTACGAGCCAATGTTTCTGACGTATATATACTCAATAATTCTAGCGGCTTCAAATCAAGCGGGAGAAAGCTGGTAGGCCCACATGTGAGAGAATGGGTCTGTGTGGTCAGTGTGCACCACATAAAAAAAATCCTGCAGCACACAATGCGTAATGAGAAAAAAAAACTGATCGTTTATTTGGAATAAAACGCCGACTTTGAGGTGTATTTTCGTATAGTATTTATCGTTGTATTCGCGTTTTCATGGTCTTAGGTGATAAAATGGAAAACATATTACAGAAATAGAGATGATTTTCATTACTTTGACAATGAAAACGACCTTGAAACTGAGCTCAAAGTAGCGGAAATGTTCAATTTTTACCAATGTTCAGGAGTAAATAAATCACACCACACGTCCAATACACATCTGGGGAGTCTAATATTCTTTCACTAGTGCACTGATATTATTTATACCATTTTTACAATAATGCAGTAGTCTGCATAACAGTAAATTTTGTATTTTTTTGTATGAATAAAAAATCAAAATAGAAAGCAATAATAATATAAGAGGGGCCTAGAGATGTGACTAATGAACAGAGCATATGTTATTTTAGTGCCACGAATGTCTACCTTGTTTATTCTGGACCCTGTTTTGAAATTGGCATCTTTTTTAGTTTGCGTGAAATTGGCCAAATTGCCAATTTCTGACCACTATATTGGGTAGTCCAAATTAGTAAATGGGAGGTTTCTTGTACTCAGCTGATAGATAAAATGGAGTTCTAAAGAAATAGCTATGAGTTTGGTCAACTGGAACAATGGAATTGGCTGAAAATAGGGCTCAAAGTCGGTGAAATCGCCGATACGCATATGTCGCCGAGACCGCTAACTTCGCGGGAGCATAATTCCATGAGTTTTCTACCAAATTTCGAACTTTTGGTGTCATTACCATCGGGAAAAGATTCTCTATCATTTCATAAGAAAAAATAATTTTTTTTTTTTCAAAAATTGAGCGACATAGAATGACAGTTTCAGAGAGGGGCCTGAAACAGTCAAAGGGTTAAGGGTCATAAACTCCTTTGGAGTGCTTGATAAGCAGTTTTGATCCAAGGAAGGGGAGGTTAGCTCCAATTTGTTGGAATAAGAGCCCTTGACTGGCCTCAAGAGACTTCCTGTGAATGGAACTACAGCTTCTCTTCAAAGATTCCCAATGGAAATAAGTCACTGACTTTTTTGTGTTATCCCAGGTTCTCTACACATATGCTGCTATGTATGATCATCTATGTATTTGTGTATACCTGAATAAACTTACTCTTCCCTTCCGATAAATCCAGTTTTGTAAAGTAAAAGGACACAAGTGCAACTAATGTGACATTTTATTGTGGCAACGTTTTGCTCTTCAGGAGCTTGACAAAGCTCCTGGAGAGCGAAACGTTGCCACAATAAAATGTCACATTAGTTGCACTTGTGTCCTTTTACTTTACATATTGTCGGTAATTCTACCAACATTATTACAAATCCAGTTTTCTCACGAGTCTGCAAATTTTCCTTTCAGAAATTCAAGATATTTTTCTTGGTGATGGGATCGTTGTATGTGCTGTATCTCATCTTCTTAATCGTCACAGCTTACAGTGAACTCAGAGCTATGCCATATTTTGGTAGGTGTTGGCTTGCTTTTTTTTTTAGGATGTATTTTAAAATTGCATTTTTATACAGTAAAATTTGCTATAACACTTCGTGTTTTAGCTGAAATTCTCTGTTAAAATTTAATAACTGTGAGCTGCAGAATCTGGTGATGGGAGGCCAGTGGTGGGGTAGCTGGTTGGGAGGGGGAGGCCTGGTGGTGGGAGGACTGTTGGTGGGAGGACTGTTAGTGGGAGGCCTGTTGGTGGGAGACCTGGTGGTGGGAGGCCTGGTGGTGGGAGGCCTGGTGGTGGGAGGCCTGGTGGTGGGAGGCCTGGTGATGGGAGGCCTGGTGGTGGGAGGCCTGGTGGTGAGACGTTGGTGGTGGGAGGCCTGGTGGTGGGAGACCTGGTGGTGGAAGACCTGGTGGTGGGAGGCCTGGTGGTGGGAGGCCTGGTGGTGGGAGGCCTGGTGGTGAGAGGTTGGTGGTGGGAGGTCTGGTGGTGGGAGGCCTGGTGGTGGGAGGCCTGGTGGTGGGAGGCCTGGTGGTGGGAGGCCTGGTGGTGAGAGGTTAGTGGTGGGAGGTCTGGTGGTGGGAGGCCTGGTGGTGGAAGACCTGGTGGTGGGAGGCCTGGTGGTGGGAGGCCTGGTGGTGAGAGGTTGGTGGTGGGAGGTCTGGTGGTGGGAGGCCTGGTGGTGGGAGGCCTGGTGGTGGGAGGCCTGGTGGTGAGAGGTTGGTGGTGGGAGGTCTGGTGGTGGGAGGCCTGGTGGTGGGAGGCCTGGTGGTGGGAGGCCTGGTGGTGAGAGGTTGGTGGTGGGAGGTCTGGTGGTGGGAGGCCTGGTGGTGGGAGGCCTGGTGGTGGGAGGCCTGGTGGTGGGAGACCTGGTGGTGGGAGGCCTGGTGGTGGGAGACCTGGTGGTGGGAGGCCTGGTGGTGGGAGACCTGGTGGTGGGAGGCCTGGTGGTGGGAGTGAGTGGATGCAAGTGGTTTTTGTGACTTTAATGTAGTGTTGGAGTGTGAGCAAGGTAACATTTATGAAGACATTCAGGGACACTGGTTAGCCGGACGTGAGTCCTGAGGTGGGAAGTACGATGCCTGCACTCTGAACGAGGGGTGAGATATGTTGCAATTTTGAACTGTTAATCGGTGCCCCTCTGGCAAGACAGTGATGGAGTGATGATGAAAATGTTTCTTCTTTTTTGGGTCACTCTGCCTTGGTGTGGGACAGCCAGTGTGTTGAAAAAAATTCTAAAATACACAACCCTTTTTTTTATTGTTAGTTTTTGTTGCTTCAAAATGGGTTTCTGCATTTACCTATATATGTTTACATTTATTTGTCATTAATGGATACCATTCTATCTTCACTCTTTTAGACTTACGGCTCAAGTTTATGACACTGCTGATGTTAGTCGTGCTGTGTGTCAGCATCACCATCACTGTCCTGAGGTTTGGAGTTGGCATTCTCGAAGATAATTTTGTAGCCCAACTCTCCACGCACTACGACTCCTCCGCGCAGTTCATGGCATTTTATGGCCTCCTTAATCTGTATCTCTTTGCAATGGCCTATGTCTATTCTCCATCGGAAAGAGCTTTAATGGGTGAGTATTTTGTATTTATATATAGTATTAACAGCTTTTCTCCATGGGGAAGTGGAACAGAATTCTTCCTCTGTAAGCCATGCGTGTCGTAAGAGGTGACTAAAATGCTGGGAAGAAGGGGCCAGTAATCCCTTCTCCTGTATATTCAGTGGAACCTTGGCTTACGAGTTTAATCCATTCTGTGACCTTGCTCGTATCCCGATCTGCTTGTATGCTGAGTCAATTTTCCTCATTGAAATTAATTGAAATGCCATCAATCCGTTCCAGCGGAATTCTTGCTCTCAGGAGGCAGGACAAAATGCTTGAATATGACGCTAATATCAACTCTGTGGCTTATTTATCTATCACGATTCATCTCAGCAATGTCCTTTGCACTTATTTTCTTAGGGCCCATGGTTAGAAAAAAGAAATTTGGAAAAATAACTGCACAAAATGTAAGCAAAACATGAGAGAAATCCTTCCACGGCGAGGTGCACTGCCATCTGCCGACACTCCCTACACCACCATAGCAGCTTTCCACGGCGAGGTGCACTGCCATCCACCGACACTCCCTACACCACCATAGCAGCTTTCCACGGCGAGGTGCACTGCCACCCGCCGACACTCCCTACACCACCATAGCAGCTTTCCACGGCGAGGTGCACTGCCATCCACCGACACTCCCTACACCACCATAGCAGCTTTCCACGGCGAGGTGCACTGCCATCCGCCGACACTCCCTACACCACCATAGCAGCTTTCCACGGCGAGGTGCACTGCCATCTGCCGACACTCCCTACACCACCATAGCAGCTTTCCACGGCGAGGTGCACTGCCACCCGCCGACACTCCCTACACCACCATAGCAGCTTTCCACGGCGAGGTGCACTGCCATCCGCCGACACTCCCTACACCACCATAGCAGCTTTCCACGGCGAGGTGCACTGCCACCCGCCGACACTCCCTACACCACCATAGCAGCTTTCCACGGCGAGGTGCACTGCCATCCCGCCGACACTCCCTACACCACCATAGCAGCTTTCCACGGCGAGGTGCACTGCCATCCGCCGACACTCCCTACACCACCATAGCAGCTTTCCACGGCGAGGTGCACTGCCATCAGCCGACACTCCCTACACCACCATAGCAGCTTTCCACGGCGAGGTGCACTGCCATCCGCCGACACTCCCTACACCACCATAGCAGCTTTCCACGGCGAGGTGCACTGCCATCCCGCCGACACTCCCTACACCACCATAGCAGCTTTCCACGGCGAGGTGCACTGCCATCCGCCGACACTCCCTACACCACCATAGCAGCTTTCCACGGCGAGGTGCACTGCCATCCGCCGACACTCCCTACACCACCATAGCAGCTTTCCACGGCGAGGTGCACTGCCACCGCCGACACTCCCTACACCACCATCGCAGCTTTACGGGAGTGCATGTCAGCACTTCCTCCACAAGCTTAGCGTGTGTTCGAATTCCTTGAGTTTGAGTGATCTGACTTACTACATCACTGACTTTCTGAATACTCGACTCACTCTACTGACTGCTGACTGTATGATGTGATGACTGACTGACTTACTGATGACTGACTTATTGATACTGACTGACTGACTATGACTGACTGAATGACTGACTAACTGACTGACTTACTGACTTGACTGAATGATTTACTGACTGACTTACTGACTGACTTACTGACTTGACTGGCTGACTTACTGACTTGACTGACTGACTGACTGACTTGACTGACTGACTTACTGGCTTGACTGACTTAACTGTACTGACTTGAACTGACTTAACTGACTTGACTGACTTAACTGACTGACTTGCCTGACTGACTGACTTGACTTACTGAATTGACTGACTGACTTACTGACTTGACTGACTGACTGACTTACTGACTTGACTGACTGACTTACTGACTTAACTGACTGACTTACTGACTTTACTGACTTGCCTGACTCACTGACTTGACTGACTGACTTACTGACTTGACTGACTGACTTACTGACTTGACTGACTGACTTACTGACTTGACTGACTGACTTACTGACTTGACTGACTGACTTACTGACTTGATTGACTGACTTACTGACTTTACTGACTTAACTGACTGATACTGACTTGACTGAATGACCTACTGACTTGACTAACTGACTTAACTGACTGATTTACTGACTTGACTGACTGACTTACTGACTTGACTGACTAACTTAACTGACTTTTTGATTTGACTGACTTAGACTTAACTGACTTACTAACTTGACTTACTGACTTGACTGACTGACTTAACTGACTTACTAACTTGACTGATCTACTGACTTAACTGACTTACTAACTTGACTGATTTACTGACTTGACTGACACTGATTTACTGACTTGACTGACTCACTGAATATTATAATGGGGAAGCACTAAATCCATAGGATTATACAGTGCCTGTGGGGGAAAGGGGATGGAAGGTATTTAGGCTTAATTTAGGGAACTGGAACACAGATACAGTTCCCTGGATCAAGAACCCCACACCAGTGCCAAGGAACCTCCCTTGAGAGGGAAACTCGCATCCTGAATTTTTGCTTGTATCCGGAAACAAAAAATGACCTAGCGATTGCTCGTATCCTGAAAAACCTGTATGGTGGGGCACTCGTAAGCCGAGGTTCCACTGTGCATAATTACTAAATTTAAAAAGAGAAATTTTCGTTTTTGTTTTTGGTTCACCCTGCCTCAGTGGGATATGGCTGGTTTGTTGAAAAAAAATATAACAAATTAACTTATCCTAGCCTGTCCTAGCCCATCCACAAACTGAAGATCTTTGAATCAGTTTGAAATAATTTGTAATTCTTTTTTAATTGACCATTTGTCACAACATGCCTTAAATATTCTATGGAGAGGGAGCATAGACACGGGTCATCCCACAGTCACTAAAAATAATGGACACAACTTCACTCTACAAAGGTGGCAGTAAAGTAGTTGCAAAGAATTACAGATCACCAACCACTTGGATACCCATCAGTTGCACAACCCATGGCGGCACGGGTTTAGAGCAGGTCACTCCTGCTTCTCACAGCTACTGGACCACTATGACATGGTCTTGGATGCTCTGGAGGACAAACAAAATGCAGATGTAGTATACACGAACTTTGTGAAAGCCTTCAATAAGTGTGATCATGATGTAATAGCACATAAAACGCATGATAAAGGAATAACATGAAAAGTGGGTAGATGTATCTATAACTTCCTAGCAAATAGAACACAAAGAGTAATAGTAAACAGAGTAAAGTCAGAGGCAGCTGCAGTGAAAAGCTCTGTTCCACAAGGCACAGTACTCACTCTCATTCCTTTCCTCATCCTCATATCTGACATAGAGATATAAGCTACAGCACTGTGTCCTCCTTTGCTGATATCAGAATTTGCCTCACACCATTATCCATTTAGAACACTGCAAATCTCCAAGTGAACATTAACCAAGTCTTTCAGTGCACCTCAGAAAACATTATGAAGTTCAATGGGGACAAATTTCAGTTGCTCCACTATGGAAAACTCAAGGAAATAAAAACTGGATCAGAGCATAAAACAAATTCCAACCACACAGTAAAGTGAAAAACTAATGTGGAGGACCTGGAAGTGATAATGTCAAAGAATCTCACTTTTAAAAATCATAGCAATGTCTAGTAGGTAGTAGGTTGGTAGACAGCAACCACCCAGGGAGGTACTACCGTCCCGCCAAGTGAGTGTAAAATGAAAGCCTGTAATTGTTTTACGTGATGGTAGGATTGCTGGTGTCCTTTTTTCTGTCTCATAAACATGCAAGATTTCAGGTACGTCTTGCTACTCCTACTTACACTTAGGTCACACTACACATACATGTACAAGCATATATATATACACCCCTCTGGGTTTTCTGCTATTTTCTTTTTAGTTCTTGTTCTTGTTTATTTCCTGTTATCTCCATGGGGAAGTGGAACAGAATTCTTCCTCCTTAAGCCATGTGTGTTGTAAGAGGTGACTAAAATGCCGGGAGCAAGGGGCTAGTAACCCCTTCTCTTGTATAAATTACTAAATTTAAAAAGAGAAACTTTCGTTTTTCTTTTTGGGTCACCCTGCCTTGGTGGGATACAGCCAGTTTGTTGGAAAAAAAAATGTCTCTACCACATCTGCTTAGAAAATGATAGACTAGATAATAACAACCTTCAAAACTAGGGATGCGAAAACCAATGATGATTCTTTTCAAATTGCTTGTTCTCTCTAGGCCCCTTTCAAAGCAGGCAAAATTGCAGACTTGGAGAATATACAGAGAACTTCACTGCATGTATAAGTACAATAAAGCACCTCAATTGCTGGGAACGGTTGAAGTCCCTTGACCTGTACTACTTGTAATACTGGCAAGAAAGATACATGATAATATGCACTTGGAAAATCCTAGAGGGACTAGTCCCAAATCTGCACACAGAAATCACTCCTCATGAAACCAAGGACTCGGCATGTGGTACAGCGTCCCCCAATGCAAAGCAAGGGTGCCATGAGTACACTAAGAGAAAACAAAATAAGTGTCAGGGGCCCAAGACTCGACTGCCTCCTAGCCTACATAAGGGGTATAACCCTGGCTGTCTTCAAGAGGGAGCTTGACAGGAACCTAAGGTCAGTACCTGACCAGCCAAGCTGTGGTTCATATGTCAGTTTGTGTGCTGCCAGTAGTAACAGTCTGGTTGATCAGGCACAGATCCACTGCAAGGCCTGGTTATGGACTGGGCCATGGGGGCATTGACCCCCAGAACATCCTCCAGGTATGTGCAGGTTATTTGTGTATAATTATTATTCTGTACAAGAACTTATTGTATTTGTCTGCGGCTGCTGACACATGTTTAAAATAGTTACTATCAGGACTGTATTATGTATTTATTCTAGCTTATAGTAATAGATTACAGTGGACCCCCGCATAACGATATTATTTCAATCCAGAAGTCTGTTTGGGTGCCGTTATAGACCAAATTTTTTCCCATAAGAGATATTGTGAAGTAGATTAGTCCGTTTCAGACCCCCAAAAATACACCTCCAAAAGCACTTACAAAAATACACTTACATAATTGGTCGCGTTGGGAGCTGATCGTTATGCGGGGGTCCACTGTATTTATCTTTTGTCTTTAGAGTTAATGCAAATTAGGTACATTATTGTCACATAATATTGGTAATGAGTGCATTGACTTGTTCTTTCAGAAACTCACATCATGAAGGATAATCCAGCATTTAGCATGGTAAATGATTCTGATGAAGATGTGATTTATGGCTCTGACGATGACACCAGAAGACCATTAAACAGAGGCAGTAATGATAATGATGAGAGTGATTAGAGTAAGCTTAATATAACAGTTTTTGTATCAAATATGGAAGTGAGTTGATCGCCAACACCTGAATGCTGTGCTGGGTCATTTGCAGCAGTCTGCAAGAGGCAGATACTTAAGAAAAAATATTACTCATCTATTAAAAATCTGTATAGATTAAATCTTTTCTGTTAGCATTTCTGTGTGACAGGTTGTGTACATGTAGCACTGTCTAGTGTCTTGACAGGTTGTGTACATGTAGTACTGTCTAGTGTCTTGACAGGTTGTGTACATATAGTACTGTCTAGTGTCTTGACAGGTTGTGTACATATAGTACTGTCTAGTGTCTTGACAGGTTGTGTACATGTAGTACTGTCTAGTGTCCTGACAGGTTGTGTACATATAGTACTGTCTAGTGTCTTGACAGGTTGTGTACATGTAGTACTGTCTAGTGTCTTGACAGGTTGTGTACATATAGTACTGTCTAGTGTCTTGACAGGTTGTGTACATATAGTACTGTCTAGTGTCTTGACAGGTTGTGTACATATAGTACTGTCTAGTGTCTTGACAGGTTGTGTACATATAGTACTGTCTAGTGTCTTGACAGTTTGTGTACATGTAGTACTGTCTAGTGTCTTGACAGGTTGTGTACATATAGTACTGTCTAGTGTCTTGACAGGTTGTGTACATGTAGTACTGTCTAGTGACTTGACAGGTTGTGTACATATAGTACTGTCTAGTGTCTTGACAGGTTGTGTACATATAGTACTGTCTAGTGTCCTGACAGGTTGTGTACATGTAGTACTGTCTAGTGTCTTGACAGGTTGTGTACATGTAGTACTGTCTAGTGTCCTGACAGGTTGTGTACATGTAGTACTGTCTAGTGTCCTGACAGGTTGTGTACATGTAGTACTGTCTAGTGTCCTGACAGGTTGTGTACATGTAGTACTGTCTAGTGTCCTGACAGGTTGTGTACATGTAGTACTGTCTAGTGTCCTGACAGGTTGTGTACATGTAGTACTGTCTAGTGTCCTGACAGGTTTCTACAAGACTGAGATCCATGAATTGTTACATATTCAGTCATTTTGGTGTTTGTCCAGATAATTTTGAAAAATACGAGTCTGCCATGACTATAATAGTAATATTACCTGACTCAACTGCTTAATAGGTCTTGCTGTGTTAACTCTGTTTCATTTGTGTGTGTACCTAGGTGAATTTTTTTATTAAATATAAAAAACTGAAAAAGCAGAGTAAAGCTGTGTGTACAGTGTATTTGTTTAACCCGTAAACGGTCCAAACGTATATATATGTTTTTTCAACATTTGAAAGTATGTAAAAAAAGTAGATCTTTTTGTTTTTTTACATTTGAAAATGTGTAAAAAAACTTTGATCTACTTTTGTAGCACTACACGTGTGAACGTAGATCTGCTTGGACCGTTTACGGGTTAACATGTTAAATGTTATATTGTAATTATTAAACAAGGCAGAAAATGTTATATCAGTTTTCAGCACCAGTACATGTCTATGGGAATGAGATTTCTGTACAGAAATTAAACTCATTTTATAATTGTCTAGTGTAATGTGACATGAATGTTTGAATCATTCACCACTATATTTAGTTCCCAAGTTAGAAATAGCCACATTTACAAACAATGTATTTAGGAAGAAATTAAAATTAGACAACGTCCGAGCCACAGTACCATGAGTTATGAGACGGAACCATCCATTATACACAGCATGACTCTATCTTCATTACTGAACTGAGAATTAATCTCTATCATTGCTTGCCTTGATTCACCCACACAGGTTTAGTTTTTTTTTTTTTTTTTTTCAACAAGTCGGCCGTCTCCCACCGAGGCAGGGTGACCCAAAAAAGAAAGAAAATCCCCAAAAAGAAAATACTTTCATCATCATTCAACACTTTCACCACACTCGCACATTATCACTGTTTTTGCAGAGGTGCTCAGAATACAACAGTCTAGAAGCATACACATATAAAGATACACAAACATATCCCTCCAAACTGCCAATATCCCAAAACCCCTCCTTTAAAGTGCAGGCATTGTACTTCCCATTTCCAGGACTCAAGTCCGACTATATGAAAATAACCGGTTTCCCTGAATCCCTTCACTAAATATTACCCTGCTCACACTCCAACAGATCGTCAGGTCCCAAGTACCATTCGTCTCCATTCACTCCTATCTAACACGCTCACGCACGCTTGCTGGAAGTCCAAGCCCCTTACCCACAAAACCTCCTTTACCCCCTCTCTCCAACCCTTTCGAGGACGACCCCTACCCCGCCTTCCTTCCCCTATAGATTTATATGCTTTCCATGTCATTCTACTTTGATCCATTCTCTCTAAATGACCAAACCACCTCAACAACCCCTCTTCTGCCCTCTGACTAATACTTTTATTAACTCCACACCTTCTCCTAATTTCCACACTCCGAATTTTCTGCATAATATTTACACCACACATTGCCCTTAAACAGGACATCTCCACTGCCTCCAACCGTCTCCTCGCTGCTGCATTTACCACCCAAGCTTCACACCCATATAAGAGTGTTGGTACTACTATACTTTCATACATTCCCTTCTTTGCCTCCATAGATAACATTTTTTGACTCCACATATACCTCAACGCACCACTCACCTTTTTTCCTTCATCAATTCTATGATTAACCTCATCCTTCATAAATCCATCCGCCGACACGTCAACTCCCAAGTATCTGAAAACATTCACTTCTTCCATACTCCTCCTCCCCAATTTGATATCCAATTTTTCTTTATCTAAATCATTTGACACCCTCATCACCTTACTCTTTTCTATGTTCACTTTCAACTTTCTACCTTTACACACACTCCCAAACTCATCCACTAACCTTTGCAATTTTTCTTTAGAATCTCCCATAAGCACAGTATCATCAGCAAAAGTAACTGTTGTCAATTCCCATTTTGAATTGATTCCTCATAATTTAATCCCACCCCTCTCCCAAACACCCTAGCATTTACTTCCTTAACAACCCCATCTATAAATATATTAAACAACCATGGTGACATTACACATCCCTGTCTAAGACCTACTTTTACCGGGAAATAGTCTCCCTCTCTTCTACACACCCTAACCTGAGCCTCACTATCTTCATAAAAACTCTTTACAGCATTTAATAACTTACCACCTATTCCATATACTTGCAACATCTGCCACATTGCTCCTCTATCCACTCTATCATATGCCTTTTCAAAATCCATAAATGCAAAAAAACTTCCCTACCTTTATCTAAATACTGTTCACATATATGCTTCAATGTAAACACTTGATCTACACATCCCTACCCACTCTGAAACCTCCTTGCTCATCCGCAATCCTACACTCTGTCTTACCTCTAATTCTTTCAATTATAACCCTACCGTACACTTTTTCCTGGTATACTCAGTAAGCTTATTCCTCTATAATTTTTACAATCTCTTTTGTCCCCTTTCCCTTTATATAAAGGGACTATACATGCTCTCTCGCCCAATCCCTAGGTACCTTCCCCTCTTTCATACATTTATTGAACAAAAGTACCAACCACTCCAACACTATATCCCCCCCTGCTTTTAACATTTCTGTCATGATCCCATCAGTACCAGCTGCTTTACCCCCTTTCATTTTACGTAATGCCTCACGTACCTCCCCCACACTTACATTCTGCTCTTCTTCACTCCTAAAAGATGGTATATCCTCCCTGACCAGTGCATGAAATTACTGCCTCTGTTTCTTCCTTAACATTTAAAAGTTCCTCAAAATATTCTCGCCATCTACCTAATAACCTCCATCTCCCCATCTACTAACTCCCCTACATCTGTTTTTAACTGACAAATCCATATTTTCCCTTGGCTTTCTTAACTTGTTTAACTCCAAAATTTTTTCTTATTTTCATTAAAATTTCTTGACAGTGCCTCTCCCACTCTATCATCTGCTCTCTTTTGCACTCTCTCACCACTCTCTTTACCTTTCTTTTACTCTCCATATATTCTGCTCTTCTTATAACACTTCTGCTTTGTAAAAACCTCTCATAAGCTACCTTTTTCTCTTTTATCACACCCTTTACTTCATCATCCACAATCACTCCTCTTTCCTCCTTCACCCACCCTCCTATAACCACAAACTTCTGCCCCACATTCTAATACTGCATTTTTAAAACTATTCCAACCCTCTTCAACCCCCCCATTACTCATCTTTGCACTATCCCCCTTTCTGCCAATAGTCGCTTATAATCTCACCCGAACTTCCTCCTCCCTTAGTTTATACACTTTCACCTCCCTCTTACTTGTTGTTGCCACCTTCCTCTTTTCCCATCTACCTCTTACTCTAACTGTAGCTACAACTAAATAATGATCCGATATATCAGTTGCCCCTCTATAAACATGTACATCCTGGAGCCTACCCATCAACCTTTTATCCACCAATACATAATCTAATAAACTACTTTCATTACGTGCTACATCATACCTTGTATATTTATTTATCCTCTTTTTCATAAAATATGTATTACTTATTACCAAATTTCTTTCTACACATAGCTCAATTAAAGGCTCCCCATTTACATTTACCCCTGGCACCCCAAATTTACCTACTACTCCCTCCATAACATTTTTACCCACTTTAGCATTGAAATCCCCAACCACCATTACTCTCACACTTGATTCAAAACTCCCCATGCATTCACTCAACATTTCCCAAAAACTCTCCTCTCTCCTCTACACTTCTCTCTTCTCCAGGTGCATACACGCTTATTAAACCCACTTTTCACATCCAACTTTATTTTACTCCACATAATCCTTGAATTAATACATTTATAGTCCCTCTTTTCCTGCCATAGCTTATCCTTCAACATTATTGCTACTCCTTCTTTAGCTCTAACTCTATTTGAAACCCTGACCTAATCCCATTTATTCCTCTCCACTGAAACTCTCCCACCCCCTTCAGCTTTGTTTCACTTAAAGCCAGACATCCAGCTTCTTCTCATTCATAACATCCACAATCATCTCTTTCTTATCATCTGCACAACATCCACGCACATTCAGACTTCCCACTTTGACAATTTTCTTCTTCTTATTCTTTTTAGTAATCTTTACAGGAAAAGGGGTTACTAGCCCATTGTTCCCGGCATTTTAGTTGACTTTTACAACACGCATGGCTTACGGAGGAAAGATTCTTATTCCACTTCCCCATGGATATAAAAGGAAAATTAATAAGACCAAGAACTATTAAGATAAAATCAAAGAAAACTCAGATGAGTGTGTATGAATAAATGTGTATATGTATGTGTAGTGTGACCTAAGTGTAAGTAGAAGTAGCAAGACATGCCTGTAATCTTGCATATTTATGAGACAGACAAAAGACATCAGCAATCCTACCATCATGTAAAACAATCACAGGCTTTCGTTTTACACTCACTTGGCAGGACGGTAGTACCTCCCTGGGTGGTTGCTGTCTACCAACCTACTACCTATACAGGTTTAGTGCCTCACTTAAATAAATACCTATAAATGCACTATTGCTCTTTATACAAACAAGTTGTTTGTAATGATATTATTAGTTTATAGTCATTTATAAACAGAAAAACAGGAACATAACTCATTTATTAGTTGTGTGTTAATACAAGCAATCACTTTTAACATTCATTAATTCTTTGGCTAGTGAGGACATAGATATAAATATTGTGCAGTGTAAATACCTTTCCTGGTTAATGTTAAATATATTATAAATATTTCCCTGATAGGTATTACTTATTGAGCTGTGATGTTTGTGTTTCTTTCATGACAGAACACTCAAGAAACATTTTAAAATACTGTATAAGTCAACAGAACTGTTGTCCAGATCAGAATATAATTTTGTATTCAAGATTACTTAACACTTCGTTATATAGGAAAATGTCAGGAAAATGAGTTAATTTATCTTTGGGTAACTTGTTCAGGCGAGAGATTGAAAAAAACATTCTCATTTTACTGATTCTCATCCGTTCTGTATAATGTATTATAACCTCATATTGTACTTGTATGTCACACAAGTAAGTTAATAAGTAACTGCAAGTAGAGCCAAAAAACTTGAATAACGTCTAGTATAAATCCACAAAACATCAGTTTTCTTGTGCTAAGCAGCAGTGAATAACCTAGACATGTTCAGTTTGTTTTGTACTAATAAGAACATATAAAATAAAAAATGCTTAAAACTTTTTCCCAGCCATATTAATTTTTGAACACCAAATTTTGGTCTAAAAGTATTTAAGCAGAAATTTGATTGTAAATAGATATTAACTTTTATTTTTTTCTTTGTCAGTGAACTTACAATTATTTAGTCTAACCCTGAATGTTAAATTGAAATTATGGAGAGAATAAGTCTTAGCATTGAATAAACTGTACTGATATATTTTCTCGCAGTTGCTATTAGACATATGATAAATATGTTGTAAATAAATGCTTGTAGATTATTGGCCGGCTTAATTCGGTGATCTTTATGCAAGATTTTTATTCAGCTAGCATGTATAAAATGGTGTTCTTATGATGGCGTACACCGCACTTTATAAATAATCAAAGATTGGAAATCTGATCAGTTTTGAAAATAATAATCTTTAGCATAGCATAAATTTAAAATCAAAAGTTTTAGCCAGTCCTTAATTAGCAAAAACTGGCCAATTAATGGTGTGGTTTTAAGGTGTAATTCAGAAAGATGTCTGTGCCAGCCATCAACTTTATTCATTACCATGCCAGATATATACCTTTGATATACCTTTGAAGAGTTTTGAAAGTTTCACTGCTCTTGGAGCCCGGCCATGGGCCAGGCTCGTGTACAAAGTAATTTTTTACGATCATTTGTGTGCAATAAGCACATTTTCTTTTTATATATGTGTCATTGTAAAGGTTGGACTCAGGGCAGTGAATTTATATCTTCCTCTTAAAAGTTCGTCCATTGTCTATCACTGCTGTCTATTTGGTTGTATACCCAGCTGGCACTGCTGTTTGTATGGTTATATACCTAGCTGGTACTGTTGTCTGTATGGTTGTATACTCAGTTGGCACTGCTGTTTGTGTGGTTGTATACCCAGCTGGTACTGCTGTTTGCATGGTTGTATACCCACCTGGTACTGCTGTCTGTATGGTTGTATACCCAGCTGGCACTGCTGTTTGTATGGTTGTATACCTAGCTGGTACTGTTGTCTGTATTGTTGTATACTCAGTTGGCACTGCTGTTTGTATGGTTGTATACCCAGCTGGCACTGCTGTTTGTATGGTTGTATACCCAGCTGGTCCTGCTGTCTGTATGGTTGTATACCCAGCTGGTCCTTCTGTTTGTATACTCAGCTGGCACTGCTGTTTGTATGGTTGTAAACCCAACTGGCACTGCTGTTTGCATGGCTGTATACTCAGTTGGCACTGCTGTTTGTATGGTTGTATACCCAGCTGGTACTGTTGTCTGTATGGTTGTATACCCAGCTGATACTACTGTTTGTATGGTTGTATACCCAGCTGGTACTGTTGTCTGTATGGTTGTATACCCAGCTGATACTACTGTTTGTATGGTTGTATACCCAGCTGGTACTGCTGTCTGTATGGTTGTATACCCAGCTGGTACTGCTGTTTGTATGGTTGTATACTCAGCTGGCACTGCTGTTTGTATGATTGTAAACCCAGCTGGTACTGCTGTCTGTATGGTTGTATACCCAGCTGGTACTGCTGTTTGTATGGTTGTATACTCAGCTGGCACTGCTGTTTGTATTGCTGTATACTCAGTTGGCACTGCTGTTTGTATAGTTGTATACCCAGCTGGTACTGCTGTCTGTATGGTTGTATACCCAGCTGGTACTGCTGTCTGTATGGTTGTATACCCAGCTGGTACTGCTGTCAGTATGGTTGTATACCCAGCTGCTACTGTTGTATGGTTGTATACCAAGCTGGTACTGGTGTCTGTATGGTTGTATACCCAGCTGGCACTGTTGTATGGTTGTATACCCAGCTGGTACTGGTGTTTGTATGGTTGTATACCCAGCTGGTACTGCTCTCTATGGTTGTATACCCAGCTGGTACTGCTGTCTGTATGGTTGTATACCCAGCTGGTACTGTTGTATGGTTGTATACCAAGCTGATACTGGTGTCTGTATGGTTGTATACCCAGCTGGTACTGCTGTCTGTATGGTTGTATACCCAGATGGTACTGGTGTCTGTATGGTTGTATACCCAGCTGGTACTGGTGTCTGTATGGTTGTATACCCAGCTGGTACCATTGTCTGTATGGTTGTATACCCAGCTGGTGCTGCTATCTGTATGGTTGTATACACATCTGGTACTGTTGTCTGTATGGTTGTATACCCAGCTGGTGCTATCTGTATTGCTGTATACCCAGCTGGTACTGCTGTCTGTATGGTTGTATACCCAGCTGGTACAGTTGTCTGTATGGTTGTATACCCAGCTGGTGCTATCTGTATGGTTGTATACCCATCTGGTACTGGTGTCTGTATGGTTGTATACCCATCCAGTACTGCTGTCTGTATGGTTGTATACCCAGCTGGTACTGTTATCTGTATGGTTGTATACCCATCTGGTACTGCTGTCTGTATGGTTGTATACCCAGCTGGTACTGTTGTCTGTATGGTTGTATACCCAGCTGGTGCTGCTATCTGTATGGTTGTATACCCAGCTGGTACTGTTGTCTGTATGGTTGTATACCCAGCTGGTGCTGCTATCTGTATGGTTGTATACCCATCTGGTACTGCTGTCTGTATGGTTGTATACCCAGCTGATACTGGTCTGTATGGTTGTATACCCAGCTGGTACTGCTGCCTGTATGGTTGTATACCCAGTTGGTACTGCTGTCTGTATGACTGTATACCCAGCTAGTACTGCTGCCTGTATGGTGGTATACCCAGCTGGTACTGCTGCCTGTATGGTTGTATACCCAGCTGGTACTGCTGCCTGTATGGTTGTATACCCAGCTGGTACTGCTGCCTGTATGGTGGTATACCCAGCTGGTACTGCTGCCTGTATGGTGGTATACCCAGCTGGTACTGCTGCCTGTATGGTTGTATACCCATCTGGTACTGCTGTCTGTATGGTGGTATACCCAGCTGGTGCTGCTATCTGTATGGTTGTATACCCAGCTGGTACTGCTGTCTGTATGTTTGTATACCCAGCTGGTGCTGCTATCTGTATGGTGGTATACCCAGCTGGTGCTGCTATCTGTATGGTGGTATACCCAGCTGGTGCTGCTATCTGTATGGTGGTATACCCAGCTGGGGCTGCTATCTGTATGGTGGTATACCCAGCTGGTGCTGCTATCTGTATGGTGGTATACCCAGCTGGTGCTGCTATCTGTATGGTGGTATACCCAGCTGGTACTGCTATCTGTATGGTGGTATACCCAGCTGGTACTGCTATCTGTATGGTGGTATACCCAGCTGGTACTGCTATCTGTATGGTGGTATACCCAGCTGGTATTGCTATCTGTATGGTGGTATACCCAGCTGGTACTGCTATCTGTATGGTGGTATACCCAGCTGGTACTGCTATCTGTATGGTGGTATACCCAGCTGGTACTCATACTGGATGACACTAGAGTATAATATATTCCCTGGTTAATTTTCTGATTTTATAAGTGTTTGTTAGTCCTCAAAAATTTAGCTCTTTTTGATGTTCAGAAAGACGTAAAATTGATGGATGTTGCATTATGGGTCTTGTATTAATTATAAATAAACTCCCTTATCTTATGATGTAGTGTACACTACTGTAATGCTATTTACACTTATATTTATATTGTTTCCTTTAGTGACTGTTTCAGTGCTAATAATCTGATAAATAGTCACTAAAGTTTCAGATACAGCCTTTCCTCACTTAATGACGGAGTTCCGTTTCTAAGGCCATGTCGGTCAACGAATTTTTTGCTAAGCAAGGAGCATACTATAATGGTAGTGTGTTTGTGTCAACCATCTTTGATATTGTTTTAATGTCACCTTTGCACCATTTATATAATTTTTAGTATACAATGTACGTATTTTTAAATGTTTATATAGTAGTGTACTGTATATTGTAATAAATAGAATAGAGGAAATCAGCTCTAATATACATTATTTATGTATGCATACTGGTCATAGAGCTCGTTGTAAGTCTGAGTTGTCGGTAAACGAGTACGTCGCTAAGTGAGGAGAGGCTGTACTACATAATGTGTGTGTAAGAATCATTAGACTGGTACTCTTACCCCATTAATGGAGAATGTTGTCACCTGTACTGCTTATTATTTTGTTTTTTAGTGTCCAGATATTTTTTGTAGGAACAATTCCCACAAATTCCTTCTTACAGTAAAATGTAAATATAAATAAATCTCCAGTTTACTGTCCCTCTCATGAGCCTAAAAATCATTATAGTGGCAGTTTCTTATCTGGAGCTACATCAGCACTACTGTACTTGTTGCAACGAGGGTACTCTTGGATGCCGAGAGGATATATGATTTCTTGCTTGTTTCTCCTTAGAGCAGTCCTTATCCTCCCTTTCTTTTTTTTTAAGAAAAAGAAAACAAAAAATAAACCTTAATTCATGGATAGTCCAATTCGTGATTTGCTCCTCACAGGCTCCTTACCCTCACAACACCCTTACCTGATCCCGACCCGTCCACGGACTTTCAAACCTGGTACTGCTTTTGGGCAACATCTCGTTGTGTACCTCTGGTGCCAGCATTCTGGTTGATCCTTTTGATACTGCTGATCTTTGCTTAACCTTGACTATAAAACAGGCTTATCTGACGATGATTTTTGAATCGTTCACACATCACAGGACAGATTGGCTCTACACCAGTGTCGACCCATACTTCATGATCCAGATGCTATTATGGGCATTCCTTCTTGCTCCAACCCAAAAGAAATGTACTAACTTTAAAGCTATTCCTTCCACTCTTTATTTCAAAGACAGTCTTGGACAAAATTCTTTTCTCTTCAGATGATACAAGTTTATTTCAACATGATACTGGAATGCATGTTCATAGCTCATGGCAAAGTGCTCATGAGTCTTGCTGAACAAAATGTGTCCTTCATGCCCTTGAGAGTGGGATGTGCATTCTTGTTATGCAGGATAGTGAGCAAGCTGACAATCTTTCTCTCCTCCATTCTACTGACAATATCCCTGCCACATGACACATTCCTTTCTCATCTTTAGCTGTGGTTCTGTCCTTATCCTACAAATCATTATCCAACAAGACTTTCTTCAATGCAGCCCAGACATTCAAGAGTAACTTGACCTCTAGAACTTTCCACTAACCAAAGTAGACACTTATTTTTCCTAGCAACATTGTTAAACTAACCTTTGACTCGGGAAGCTTCCAGCTTATGTGTTGGGCCACTGCTTGCAGGTGCAGGAGTTGCTCCCTATGCCTCAACAATGCAGACGTTGGTGGAGCTGTGGCCACCCGGCCAAGTATTGTAGATCACCAGCAGAATGCCTGGTCCGCAGTGCAACAGATCATAAAAATCCATCTTGTGGCCTGCCACCCACTTGCCTTAATTGTGGTGAAGCTCGCCCTGCATATTCTTGCCTATGTTCTCTTTACTTGAGAAAATGTGAAATTTGTTGTTTGAGAAAAAGGGAGGGCCTTTCTTACTCTATGGCAGTGACTGAACTCTGTCTTCAGGGCAGACTTCCAAGGCTGGCCTACTCCAGAGCAGCTCAGTGCCCTCAGGTTCCTGTCATACCTTCTTCCGCATAGTCCCCTGTGTTCAATCCTTATGCAGTTCTCACTTCTGATGTTCTCACTTCTTTGTCTTCATCCATTCTTCCATTCTTCCATTTTGCTTGTTTCTCCTTCCACACAGCCTTTCCCAGTTGTGCTTTCATCTCTTCCTCTAAAACTTCAAAGGTCCAAATCTCCTCCAGTTACTAAAACTCCCTTCCAACCTCTTGCTAGTCCATACTTAACCTTCCCTCCTGTGTGTCTTCCCTTATGCGTTCTACATTTGTCACAGTTATGGACATCTGCACATCCTCACTTATGGCCTTTACTCTCCCTGTCACTACTCAGATTCCTTCCTCCCATGACACCCCTCTCCTTTTTGTGTGTCCTACAGTTTTGACAGCTATCAGTGTCTCTTCGCCCTCAACACCATCTGTCTCCTGTCATGCTTCCTGCTACTGCCTTGCCTTCAGAAACTCTTGGGGCCATATGGCTTTTATTGAAGAGACAAAACCTGTGATGGATACCGACCTGCCTCCTTTACCTTCTCACTCTCACTCTCTGCAATCCCCTACAGGACTTCCCACACATTACTTATTTCTACCTTCTCACTCCTGCCACACATTGACTTTACTGACAACTGTAGCCGGTAGTCACCGCCTGCTTTCTGTTACTATCTTACTACTTTTTTCTGATAATGGTTTTATTGTAGTGGAATATCAGGGGATACAGAGGGAAACTGTGGGAAAGTGAGGGCAACTGGGGGAAGGTGGGGGCAACTGGGGGAAGGTGGGGGCAATTGGGGGAAGGTGGGGGCAACTGGGGGAAGGTGGGGGCAACTGGGGAAGATGGGGGAAGGTGGGGCCAACTGGGGGAAGGTGGGGGCAACTGGGGATGGTGGGGGCAACTGAGGGAAGGTGGGGGCAACTGGGGGAAGGTGGTAGCAACTGGGGAAGGTGGGGGCAACTGAGGGAAGGTGGGGGCAACTGAGGGAAGGTGGGGGCAACTGAGGGAAGGTGGGGGCAACTGGGGGAAGGATTCTTTAAGCTTTCCCTTGGGGACGAAGAGAAAAATAAAAACAAGAGTTATTAAAAAAATAGAAGAAAACTCAGATGGGTGTACTCACCTATTTGTGGTTGCAGGAGTTGAGTCACAGCTCCTGGCCCACCAGGTATGTATACATATATGTGTGCATGCCTGTGTAGTATAATAATAATAACAATAATGATAATAATAATAATAATACATATCTTTATTTCTACAAGTACATGTACAAGGTATACAGGCTTAGTTGACATCAGTGACATTCTACGTACTTAGAACTTCCAAAGAATATATTCACAAAAATAATTACTGTGGTCTTCTCTTTAATTAATTTGAACATAATTAAAATGTCACAATTGGAAGTTGAAGACTCCTGTGAGTCAAAGGGACATTAGGAAGTATTTCTTCAGTCATAGTTGTCAGGCAGCGGTATAGTCAGGAAAGTGACGTAGGGGAGGCAGGAACCATACATAGTTTTAAGACGAGGTATGATAAAGCTCATGGAGCAGGGAGAGAGAGGACCTAGTAGCAATCAGTGAAGAGGCGGGGCCAGGAGCTATGACTCGACTCCTGCAACCACATATAGGTGAGTACAAATAGGTGAGTAATGTTTCATATTTAGTGTAAGAAGGGCATGATTGGTGCGAAAATATTGGTATTATGAAAAATACGGTGTTTATCAGTGCCGTTAAATTGTATTAGAATGAAAATATTTCACTATCGGCACTCTTCAAGAGAGATACCATGATGTCATGATGTCAGTGAAAGGCTCTTGATCCAAAGAAGTGGAAGTATTCTCCCTTTCCTTAGATCAAATGTGATTACCTTCTATTCCCTTGATGCTTTATGACCCTTTCTGGCTTAGTGCTCACCCATGGATGTAATAATAATTCATTACTGGTAACTGTATTTCTTATTACCTCAAGCTTTACAAAATATATTAATTAGCAAATTCATAATCACATACAAGAATGTTGTTAGATCTTTGTATTTTGAACCTTAAAGATGGTTTGTGTTCCATATCTGTATATAAGCAAGATAGGGTAAAAAAATGTCACAATAATGTGACTGGAATACAACAAACTGGAGTTAAACTATTTGATGTTTTGGTCAGATGTTATTTCAGTTTGATAATGGTGCACAGCCGACTGAAATGTTCAGGATGGATTGAAATGTTCAGTGTATGGACTGAAGTGTTCAGGACAAACTTTTCAGAATAGACTGAAGTGTTCAGGATGGGCTGAAATGTTCAGACAAGATAGAAATGTCATGTACTGTAGTTTATATGAAAATGAGGATGATAGAATTTTATATACTCATTTTAATGTGCGCATAAAACATAGATCATCGTAGTTCATGCATTTTTATGGCCAAACTAAGTCTTTTAAGGTTTATTAATAAAAAAGTCTAGATGTTTTCTAAGCACATGCCGTAAATACACTAGTCACACATTTGCCGAGTAAGTCGCTTCGAGGGGGAAGTTCCTGATTTATCATCCATGAATCTCTCAATCTCTCCAAGGAATTAGAATGATCCTTCCCTTCTTTCTGTTGAGCACCTGGTTACTCCCATTCTTCAGGTGTTGTTTGACCCCCTACAGGTTTAGTTAGTACTGTACTATAATACTGATACTGTTTCTCTTAATAATAATAATTTTTATTTCTGGAAGTCCATGGCCTAGTTGTACTACTACTATATAGAAAGCTGCTTATTATGCAGAGTATTTCAGGCAAATTAGGTCAATTTTGTCCCAGGATGTGACCTGCATCATTCAACTAATGCCCAGGTGTCTGTTCATATTCACCTGCTAGGTGAACATGGACAGCAGGTGTGTTAAGGAAACATGTCATAATGCTTCCACCCATACTGGGGATCGATCCCTGGTATGAGGGTTGCTACCAATCAAGCTATGGGACACCTATATTCAACCTTTATGCGTTAAATAATCCACTTAATTTTTTAACACTCTATATTATAAATAAAATCAATATATTAAGCAAAAAAAGCTGATATAGTTAAGAATTCATGTACAGAAAATCTGCATTGGTATTGCTTGTTCAGATCTGTTAATGACTTGCTAAAAATATTTCAACAAGTGTTAAAGAAAGAAAACAGAAATAAACTAAGTGACATTCAACTTTTTTTTTAAATGCAGCGGCTGTCTCCCGCTGAGGCGGTGACCCAGAAATGCAGCGGCTGTCTCCCGCTGAGGCGGTGACCCAGAAATGCAGCGGCTGTCTCCCGCTGAGGCGGTGACCCAGAAATGCAGCGGCTGTCTCCCGCTGAGGCGGTGACCCAGAAATGCAGCGGCTGTCTCCCGCTGAGGCGGTGACCCAGAAATGCAGCGGCTGTCTCCCGCTGAGGCGGTGACCCAGAAATGAAGACACAAAAACTTTCCTTTTTATATTTAGTAGTTTACAGAGGATTATTATTATTATAATCAAAACTAAGCGGTGAACCCACAAAGGTTATAGAGTGCTGTGTTTACAGAGGAGTATAGAGTGCTGTGTTTACAGAGGAATATAGAGTGTTATGTTTACAGAGGAATATAGAGTGCTGTGTTTACAGAGGAGAAGTTACTAGCCCTTTGTTCCTCAACCAATGTTAATATGTATAATTATTTTCATT